TCAAGATAGTCATACTTCTTACAGGTGTCTGGCTTACAAGAGACAGGAAACAGAAGCTAAGTTGGTTAAGGGCTGTCCTTAGAACTGGCACAGTGTCACTTTGCCATATTCTGTGGGTTAAACAATCACAAGATCCTGGGGAAGTGGACTCTACCTCTTGATGAGGGAGTAGCAAGGTCATTATTGCCTTTTTCATTATGAAAGGTCTTCTTCACAATGAAGAAGAGCAAGCATGGATGATATTATTGTGGCTATCTTTGGAAAATACAATCTGCCACAGATTGTATTCTCTATTCTTTCCTAATCTCTGAACCACCATCATGCTGTGCTGCCTCTGTCTCTTTGCCTTATAATGTTGTTAATGTCTTAGGGCTTTGTCACCAATTAAAAATTAATTCTCGGCCCGGGGCGCGGTGGCTCACGCTGTAATCCTAGCTCTCTGGGAGGCCGAGCGGGCGGATTGCTCGAGGTCAGGAGTTCGAAACCAGGCTGAGCAAGAGCGAGACCCCGTCTCTACTATAAATACGAAGAAATTAATTGGCCAACTAATGTATACAAAAAATTAGCCGGGCATGGTGGCGAATGCCTGTAGTCCCAGCTACTTGGGAGCTGAGCAGGAGGATTGCTTGAGCCAGGAGTTTGAGGTTGCTGTGAGCTAGGCTGACGCCACGGCACTCACCTCTAGCCTGGGCAACAAAGCGGGACCTCTGTCTTCAATAGATGACAGATATGAAAACATGATAATGCACAGATAGATATTTAGAGTTACCTAACTCGATCTTTTCACCTGGGATATGATTAGAAGACATGTTCAGCCGATGACGCCTGGCAGAAACATTCTTCAACTCGATGATTTCCCTATCAGGGCATCTTATGAGAGTCGCTTGAGAACGTGTTTTGTATGAGGACTTAGATGTGTTATAGACTAGACTACTATATAAATTAGATGTCCACGTCTTGGATGTGTTTTAGTCACTTCTTTTGTAGATCTATTATTTCAGCGTGTGGATGTACGCCACACAGATAAGAGGATCAAATAATCTGTCTTATTGCGATATCTTCCATAAGTGATAACCAGCGTCGATAGGACTCAGCCAAGTACAGAGCTATTAATGTACTTCTGGCCCAGCATGACGCTAGAGCCTCATGATATTGGTATCTATGGTTATATAGAAACTCATCCTTCTATCTCTCTGTAGCTTATACTGCGCGCGCGAGAGGCATATAATAGGGAGTGTATTCATCGACTAAGAGAGCCTCAGTTCCCTGGCAAGAACCAGGCGTTGCTGTTAGCTCCTGAGTGAAATGACCTGTATTTAAAAAAAACAGTAGTGACAGTTTTATCCGTTAGAGTGAGAGCATATACGAGCCTCGCTAATTGCACTGAGAGTTAGAGGAGGTTCGGTTGTTAACAGGTTAGTACTATACGGCATACGTATTTAAGTATAGCATAGGTTTAGTTTTTTCCGCGAGCGAGGAACGAGAGAGGAAGTGCAAGTCTACTTACGCTGTAACCTATGCATCATACGGAGTATTCAGGAGGATACTTGGTGGCACAGCGGAAGAATCAGAGATGGAGAGCCGAGGCCCGAGAAGAGATGTTGGGCGGATTGCTCGAGGTCAGGAGTTCAACACCAGCTGAGCAACGGCTCCGTAGCAATGCTAGTCGCCGTTGCGCTCTGACCATGGATATGAAGAGTAATGCGCTGAAATGTAGGATTATATCGAGCGACCTATAGGTCGGCTCTTTGACTGGTAGAGGGAGGCGTGCAGAGCTGAGGCAGAAATACTATAGGGGTCCCGGCAGGACGACGAGCACAAAAGGCACCGGGAGCCAGGTCAAAGGTCCGCGGGATACGCAGGGCGTGGTAAGTGAGGCGCCCTGCGCCTCACCGCATGGGCTCGGGGCGCGAGGGTCAGGAGCCTCGGTGGATCCGTCTCGCGCGCCGCGTATGGCAGTAAACCGGCTCGCCGGGTTGCGCGCCGCCAGAGGCTCCAGCGAGCGCGAACGGTCCCGAATTGCGTCGCTCCACAGCCTGCGCTCCGCTCAGCTGCTCACCCGCCATGTGTAAGTGCGACAGCCGTCGGGCGCGCCGGCCGCGGGAGGGGGGCAGCCGCTTCGCTCTCGCTGAGGCAGGAGGATTGCTTGAGCCAGGAGTTTGAGGTTGCTGTGAGCTAGGCTGACGCCACGGCACTCACTCTAGGCCTGGGGCAACAAAGCGGGACTCTGTCTCAAAAAAAAAAAAAAAAAAAAAAAATTAATTCTCTATTGATGTTCAAATGGATATAGGAAGTAGAGTGAGGTGCAAAAACATTACTTCAACTCTAGATTTTTGTTTTTTATAGTAGAGACGGGGTCTCGCTCTTGCTCAGGCTGGTTTTGAACTCCTGACCTTGAGCAATCCGCCCGCCTCGGCCTCCCAAGAGCTAGGATTACAGGAGAATTAATTTTTTAATTGGCTTGACAAAGCCCTAAGACATTAACAACATTATAAGGCAAAGAGACAGAGGCAGCACAGCATGATGGTGGTTCAGAGATTAGAGAAAGAATAGAGAATACAATCTGTGGCAGATTGTATTTTCCAAAGATAGCCACAATAATATCATCCATGCTTGCTCTTCTTCATTGTGAAGAAGACCTTTCATAATGAAAAAGGCAATATGACCTTGCTACTCCCTCATCAAGAGGTAGAGTCCACTTCCCCAGGATCTTGTGATTGTTTTAACCCACAGAATATGGCAAAGTGACACTGTGCCAGTTCTAAGGACAGCCCTTAACCAACCTTAGCTTCTGTTTCCTGTCTCTTGTAAGCCAGACACCATGTAAGAAGTATGACTATCCTGAGAAGCCATAGTCATGTGGAGATGCCCTAGAAAATGAGCCACCAGGATGAGAGTGGAGGATGGGAGAGCTAAAGAGCCCCAAGGTACCAGACAAGTAAGTGAAGAATACATTTGCAAGAAGATCCTCCAACTGAACCAATCCTGTTAATGCCATATGGATAAGAGACAATCCCGAGGCAAACTCTTCCCAAATTCCTAGTCCACAAACTGTGAGCAAAAGAAAATGATTGTTTAAGCCTCTAAGTTTTGATGTAGTTTGTTACATAATGATAAATAGCTAAAACACCATCTTTAACAATGAGCCTGTGATTTCTCACTAAAAATGCCACTGTGCCTCCCAAGTTTGGAGGGAAAGTTACACAAATATATCAGCTCTAATTATCAGGACAAGTGAACCACAGCAGGCAGAGCGTCACTTGTCACCTTTTGATATGTCTTCTGGAGAACAGCCAACCATTATCACAGTACTTGGTGTGACACACACACCCCCCCCCCCTGCCCCCGCAAAGCAACATACATGGCTGACTTACATAAAAGATTACCAATTATTGGAATCTCCCTGCAGCAGTCCATGATGATAACATGGTTCTTTTCTTATATTTGGTTAAGTAAATTTTCAAAGCCTACTGATTTACCTATCAATAAAACACATTGTACCATATAAACAAAATTTTTATTTCTAAAGAAAGAATCTTCTTTTTCCAATCTGTTGGTAGGTTAAGGGAACCACTAAAATAGCTTTGTAAAACCTGTTAATGGAACAAAACTTTAATTGACAAACAACTGGGTAGCAATAGAAAATATTTAAATATATCCAAAACAAAAATAGCTCTTTTAAGAAATAAGTAGTCTTAGAGAGATGGCAGATTCCAGGTCTAAGGCAAGAAAGCCATTAAAAGACTAATAGGGCCGGGCGCTGTGGCTCACGCCTGTAATCCTAGCTCTTGGGAGGCCGAGGCGGGCGGGCGGATTGCTCAAGGTCAGGAGTTCAAAACCAGCCTGAGCAAGAGCGAGACCCCGTCTCTACTATAAATAGAAAGAAATTAATTGGCCAACTGATATATATATAAAAAATTAGCCGGGCATGGTGGCACATGCCTGTAGTCCCAGCTACTCGGGAGGCTGAGGCAGAAGGATCACTCGAGCCCAGGAGTTTGAGGTTGCTGTGAGCTAGGCTGACGCCACGGCACTCACTCTAGCCTGGGCAACAAAGTGAGACTGTCTCAAAAAAAAAAAGAAATTTTTACTTTTTTAGGCATGATAATGGTATTACCATTATGTTTTTAAAAATAAGTCCTTATTTTTTAGAGATACAAACTGAATCAGGTACAGAAGAAATGCTAAATTTAAGACTGCTTCAAAATATTCTGGGAGGGAAATGAAAAAGATGAATCAAGATTAACCATAAACTGATGACTATTTAAATTGGTTCAAGAGTACATGGAGGATCATTATGTTAGTCTATTTTTATGTATGCTTAAAATTTTCCTTAACAAAAAATTTAAAAAGAAAGAGCAGTTCATTGTACTTTTGAACACTGTATTTTTTTTCATTTGTTCTTTCCCTAAGTATAACTTTATTTACCTTACTCAATATTAGCTATTGGAAGTTGGGAAGATTTAGTACTAGGTGAAGCAAGAATAAGAATTAGGGTATAAACAGAACTTAATCATAGAAAAATAACTGTTTGTTTTTTTTTTTTTTTTTTTGAGACAAGAGTCTCGCTTTCTTGCCCAGGCTAGAGTGAGTGCCGTGGTGTCAGCCTAGATCACAGCAACCTCAAACTCCTGGGCTCAAGCAATCCTCCTGCCTCAGCCTCCCGAGTAGCTGGGACTACAGGCACGAGCCACCATGCCCGGCTGATTTGTATATTATATATATTAGTTGGCCAATTAATTTCTTTCTATTTTTATGGTAGAGACGGGGTCTCACTCAGGCTGGTTTTGAACTCCTGACCTTCAGCAATCCGCCTGCCTCGGCCTCCCAGAGTGCTAGGATTACAGGCGTGAGCCACTGCACCCGGCCGAAAAATAACTGTTTTAGGCATATAAGCAATGTATGTTCCCAATGAAATGTTATTTTTATTAGGATACCAAAAATTACCTCCCCCATATGTACACACACACATATATATATACTCTGAGATGTATACTTACCACTTTCCATCTTTCTTTCACCAGGATTCCAACACTCAGGATATCTGGCTGCTCTCCTCCCCCACTCATTGCAATATACTGATAAGGTAGAACGGCTACACAGGCATCCAGTTCCCAAGGGTGGTTTCCATTTAACCTAAAACAAAAGAAATAACAGCAGTATATCGGGGCTGAATAACACAAATAATATTCCAGCATCAAGAAGCAGTACTAATCTTATATATTAATTAGGTTGCTTTGTTGGAAAATGGGGGGGAGGGACCCCAAACTCAGTTCCAAAAATGTTTAATGCATATGTATAAAAAAGCACATATCTTTCCATTATATATGTCCAGTTATATAGCCAGATATTACAAAGACATTGTTACAACACAGATAGTATTTACAATAACTGAGATTGCTAGACTACAGGGCAAGCATGATATATCAAAGGCCCTTGATCTAAACAGGCCATTATCCTGAGTACAACATATTGCTGAAAGAAAAAGACATGGTCCCTAATTTACATCAGCTTATAGTTTAATAGGCTATAACTTAGAGCTGAACATCATTCCAGCTAATAATATCTTAATGTTACAAAATACACCTAAGTGTTGGTGGTATAGTGGTGAGCATAGCTGCCTTCCACAAAATACACTTAAAATGCATAGAAAACAAAAACGAACACAGAAAAGGGCTGTCGATCAAACCTGACACAATATTATATATATAAAAGAGTTCAAGACCAGCCTAGTCAACATAGCAAGACTCCATTTCTATAAAAAATTTAAAAATCAGCCGAGTATGGTGGTCCATGCCTGTTATATTAGCTACTCAGAGGCTGAGGCCGGATGACCACCTAAGCCCAGAAGTTTGAGATTATAGTTAGCTGTGATCACTGTGATCACACCACTGCACTCTAGTATGGGTGACAGAGTGAGACCCTGTCTCAAAAAAAAAAAAGAAAAAGAAAAGAAGATAACAGTAAAATGAATAGCATACCTGTAGAAAATGAAGATACAGCAGAAAAATATGGCCTACAGGAGATGAAAACTGTAACCTAGTCCAGAAATGAGAGGTTTATTGATAACAGTGATTTTCAGTAAAAAAAGCAAGATGCTGTATTAAAAGCATGCTCTTTTGGGTAAAAGGGAGTTGTGTATAAATAGCAAACTTTTTGGTAAAAGTCTAGAAAGTAAATATTTTAGGCTTTTCAGGCCATATACTGTATTGTCTGTCATAGCTACTCAGTTCTGCCATTGCAGCACAAAAGCAGCCGTAGACAATATGTAAACAAATTAATGTGGCTATGTTCCAACAAATTTTATTTACAAAAAAAAGTAATTGGTCAAATTTGGCCTGCAGACTGTTGTTTACTAACCTTTACTCAATACAAAGGGAAAAAAGAGGATGGAGAGGATAGGATAGAAGCCAAATTTCAGTGAATGTATCTTGTTATATAGTTTTAACTCTGGGACCAAGTAAATGTTTTACATATGACAAAAAAGTTTTCTATACTCCAAATTCAAGAAAGGACCATAATAACAGTAATCATCAAAACTGGTGTTAAACCCATTCCAGCCTATCAAAGATAGCTTGGAATGAGTGATATCACATTATTAAGTCAACCAGTCAGTAACAGCCACACTTCAAAATGACATTTGCATTAAAAAAGTCAATCAGGCCGG